GCCAATTTTGCTTACGTCTCCGGACTACTGCAAATCTTTTACTAAGAGAGAAATTTTACAGGTGTTTACAAAACACTCACTACTCACAAGAAAGCTCTCTAGTATTGGGAGAAAGAAATGATTTTTGGGATGATTTTGAAGCTAAATGAACTAGGGTATTTATAGTTAAAACTTAGGGACTAATCATTGAAAATACCCTAAAGTGCAATGACTAAAATGTAATTAGTCATTACTTAAATTCAAAATCCTTGCCAAACTTTGACAAAAATGGTAGCAGCCGACTGCTACCACGTTTCTTGACTCAGTTTTCAAAAATCTCCCACTTGAAGACTGATTTTAATCTGTCTTCACACCTCGATCAATGCAACAGCTTTTCTAGTCTTGTTACTCTAGCATGCCAACTGAAGTTGAACACAACTTCAGTTTGTCTGTGGTCACCATCTTTGTCAACATGTCTGCCGGATTTTGAGCTCCACTAATCTTTTCAAGTTTCAAAATCCCATCTTCCAGAAGAGACCGGATAAAATGATATCGCAATTGTATGTGCTTCGTCCTGGAATGAAAAGAAGGATTCTTCGCTAGATGGATAGCACTTTGACTGTCGCAATACAAGTCATTGTTTTCTTGTTTCTTGCCTAACTCTTCCAAGAAACTTTGGAGCCAAACCATCTCCTTGCTGGCTTCCGTAACAGCGACATATTCTGCTTCAGTTGTGGAGAGAGCAACTATCTTCTGTAGTTGAGAAACCCAACTCATTGCGGTTCCTCCTAGAGTATAGACATACCCTGTAGTGCTTTTTCTGATGTTGACATTTCCAGCTAAGTCAGCATCTACATAGCCTGTCAATATCGTATCTCCACCTTTGAAACAAAGTGCTTTGTTTGTGGTACCCCGCAGATATATGAGGATCCATTTGACTGCTTCCCAGTGTATCTTGCCCGGATTATTCATGTACCTGCTAACAGCTCCCACTGCATGAGCAATATCTGGTCTGGTACAAACCATGGCATACATCAGACTTCCAATTGCTGAGGCATACGACACCTTCATCATGTGTGCACATTCTTCCTCCGTCTTTGGTGACTGTTCTTTAGAGAGTCTGAAATGAACACCTAAAGGTATACTTACTGGTTTAGCATCTTGCATGTTGAACCTGGAGAGTACTTTGTTGATGTACTCAGCCTGTGATAACATCAAAGTCCCCAACTTTGTGTCCCTCTTGATCTTCATCCCAAGAATATGCTTTGCAGCGCCCAGATCCTTCATAGCAAACTGCTTCGACAATTTTTTCTTCAAGTTGATAATCTCTTGCATATCTGAGCCTGCAACGAGCATGTCATCAACGTACAATAATAAAATAATGAAGTTGTTGTCGAACCTCTTGATGTAGCAACAATGATCTGCTTGGCATCTGGTAAAACCACTGCTACCCATGAAGTTATCGAACTTCTTGTACCACTGTCTAGGAGTTTATTTTAAACCATACAAGCTCTTCTTCAACCTGCATACTAGGTTTTTCTTGCCTGCCTCTATGAAGCCTTTTGGCTGCCTCATATAGATTTCTTCCTCCAAATCACCATGAAGGAAAGCTGTCTTTACATCTAACTGCTCAAGATGTAAATTCTCTGCAGCTACAATTTTCAATACCAGTCTGATTGTAGACAACTTCACGACTGGAGAGAAAATTTCATTGTAGTCAATACCTTCTTTTTGCTGAAAGCCTTTGACAACCAATCTTGCTTTGTAGCGTTTGCTCCCATCGTGCTCTTCTTTGATCCTGTAAATCCACTTGTTATGGAGCGCTCTCTTGCCTGGTGGTAATTCAGCTAATTCCCACGTCTGATTTGACATAAACGAGTCCATCTCATCTTTCATGGAAGACTCCCACTTGACTAAATCCTCAACTTGCATTGCTTCATCATAGCACTCTGGTTCACCATTGTCAGTCAGCAACAAGTAGTGCAAAGAAGGCGAATACCGTTGGGTTGGTTTAGGAATTCTGGAGGAGCGTCTCAGTTCTGGTGTGCCTGGTTCTTCTTGAACTGCTTCTGGACTGATCTGAACATCATTTCCAGAAATCTCATCGAACTCAGCAAATTCCTTTGTTTCAGCTTTGGTATTACTTGATTCTACGGTTGACCTGTCTTTGTACATCACATTTTCATTGAAAATGACATCTCTGCTTCTGATGATCTTCTGATTTTCATAGTCCCAAAACCAGTAACCGAACTCATCACCGCCATAACCAACAAAGGCACATTTGTTGGACTTAGCATCAAGTTTACTTCTTTCAGCAGAGTCTATGTGTACATAAGAAATACAACCAAACACTCTTAAGTGTGAAAGGTTTATTTCTTTCTTGCTCCAAACTTCCTCTGGTATTCTGCCATCCAAAGGAACTGAGGGCCCACGGTTGATCAAGTAAGCTGCAGTGTTAATTGCTTCAGCCCATAGAAATTAGGGCAAACCGGCATGTATCCTCATACTTCTGGCACGTTCATTCAGAGTTCTGTTCATGCGCTCTGCTACACCATTATGTTGCGGTGTCTTGGGAATTGTTGTCTCCATCTTGATCCCATTATTTGCGCAGAAATCTCTGAATCTACTGTCTCTGTACTCTCCTCCATTGTCAGACCTCAACCTCTTGACTTTCAAACCAGTCTCATTTTCCACCATGGCCTTCCATTTTCTGAAGGTATCAAAGACTTCTGATTTCTTCTTCAGAAAATAAACCCACACCTTCCTTGTTGAATCATCGATGAATGTGACATAATATAGTGAGCCTGCAAGAGAAGGAACTGGGGATGGTCCCCATACATCAGTATGAATCAATTCTAACCTTTCTGCCTTGGGTGTCTTGCCAATCTTTGCAAAACTGACTTTCTTTTGTTTGCCAAAGATGCAATCCTCGCATAGTCCGACATCTACATTCTTTAGATCCGACAGCTTCCCTTTTGACAAAAGTGTCTTCATCCCTTTCTCGCTCATATGGCCAAGCCTTTGGTGCCATAGGTTTGATTTTCCATCAGCATCTGCTACTGCAATGATATTCTCTAAATTTGAGGTTACATAGAGAGTACCAGTCTTCTTACCACGAGCAATGACGAGTGCTCCTTTGGTAATCTTCCATTCACAGCCTGAAAAGGTTGTGCTATATTCTTCTCGATCAAGCTGTCCAACAGAAATCAGATTTCTTTTGAGGCCAGGAATATGTCTCACTCCTGTCAGCTTCCAGGTGGTCTGGTTTGGCAACTTTAGTCGGATGTCTCCTTTTCCGACGATCTTTAAGGTTTCATTATCAGCAAGATGAACCTTCCCAAAATCACCACTGACATAGTTCTCCATGATTTCTTGGCATGGGGTGGAGTGGAAAGATGCCCCTGAATCCAAGATCCATGATTCAATCAGACTGTTGACGCTTAGAATCATGGCATCACCTGTCTCCTCTGTCACGTTGGCAGATTCCTGTGCACCTGTATCTTTCTTCAGTGCTCGACAATCTCTTTTAAAGTGACCTTTCTTGCCACAATTATAACAGGTAAAATCTTTCTTTCCCGTTCTGGATTTTTTCCGTCTGGATTTTGATCTACCACAATTTGAATATCTTTCTGAAGTTCTTCCTATAGACTTCGTGTGCAAGGCTGAGGAGGTTGATGCTTCACCCGATTCTCTCCGTCGAATTTCTTCACTCAATACCAGATCCCGAACATCCTCGAATTTTAATTTGCTGTTTCCCGACGAACTGCTGACTGCTGTAACATTAGCATTCCAACTGTCTGGTAGAGATGATAAGAGAATTAAAGCTCGAACTTCATCATCGAACTCAATTTCCACTGAACTCAAATGGGTTGTGATTGTGTTGAGTTCATTTAGGTGTTGTGCCACCGATGCCCCTTCCGTCATCCGTAAATTGAATAATCGCCTCATCAAATGAACTTTGTTTGAGGCCGATGGCTTCTCATACATACTGGAGAGAGCCGCCATAAGACCCGCCGTGGTCTTTTCCTTTGCTATGTTGAAAGCAACATTTCGGGACAACGTCAGTCGGATGACTCCGAGGGCTTGTCGGTCGAGAAGAGCCCAGTCTTCATTCTTCATGCCCTCTGGTTGCTTTCCTGAGAGAGGTTGATAAAGATTTTTCTGGTACAGAAAATCTTCAATCTGCATCTTCCAAAAGCCAAAGTCCGCACCATCGAACTTTTCAATTTTCACCTTCCCTTCATCTGCAGCCATCGCTTCCACTCGAATCTGGCTTCTTTTGGATCGTTTCTGACAATTCTTGCGAACCACCGTGTATTAGAACACCACTGTCGACAAACTCGTATCGCTGACCGAAATTTCACTATTCACGAAATTCACTATTCACGTAAATAGTAATGAATATTAACCTCGCAGAAAAAATTGACAAAATTCACAACCAAAAGCTCTGATTACCAGTTGTTAGGAAATAAACCGAGTAGAAGTAATTTTCCTATAACCAGATTAGTGAGAATGCGAAATAAAAGAGGAAAAATAATACCCGAAATTGATAACGGAGTTCAGCCAATTTTGCTTACGTCTCCGGACTACTGCAGATCTTTTACTAAGAGAGAAATTTTACAGGTGTTTACAAAACACTCACTACTCACAAGAAAGCTCTCTAGTATTGGGAGAAAGAAATGATTTTTGGGATGATTTTGAAGCTAAATGAACTAGGGTATTTATAGTTAAAACTTAGGGACTAATCTTTGAAAATACCCTAAAGTACAATGACTAAAATGTAATTAGTCATTACTTAAATTCAAAATCCTTGCCAAACTTTGACAAAAATGGTAGCATCTGTTAAGGGAAGAAGAAAGTTGTGCACGACGCTTTCGTTGGTATTCTCTTTTTTTTTTCGGTAACATGCTGGGGGAGGAGAAAAGGATTCTGTAAAATTAATTAATTATTCTTCACGATTTTATTATAAAAGGGGATAATTTAATTTATTTTGCCTTTTCCATTTTCCATTTGCCTAGAAAAATAGGAAGAAGCAACATGAGAATGTTTACTATTGAACACTTGGTCCACACGGGAATTATTCCAACATCACTTGCACATTCACAGAAGAACTTGAGAAGAATCTAAAAAACACAGCACATTTGCAAACTCTCCGCTTGCTTGCTTAAGTCCAACGGGTTAAACATACAATATTTTATCATCATCATCATCTAATATCCTCCCTACATGAAAGCGTTCAAGCGGTCCAGCTCTGCACGATGCTCACTCAGCACAGCACGAACAACATCTCCGATGGAAACCATGCCGATCATTTCCTTCTCATTGGTCACCGAATTGTGTCTAAAACGGTTATCTGCCAAAATACCCAGGGTTAGTAGTAGCTCGACAAGGAACATCCCAATGAACACCAAGAACAGATATAGTAGATGGTCGCAGATCATTTTACCTGTCATCAGTTGCATTGCTTGCAGAACTTTGGTCTCAGGTGTGACCGTGATGAGCTTGTTCTTTCATCAGTTATGCTCAAGAAAAGGGCAGCATGTGATTGTTTGACATGAAAAAGCTGAAGGAAAAATCCACACCTAAATAAAGGTAATAAATGCGTTCAATGGCAAAGGTGAAGCCTGAAGGGTAACATTGGGATAGGACAAGCCAACTATCAACAAGATTAGCTCGTCGGTTCAGACCATCTAATACACAACAAATAACACAAAACTCCTAGCATAGGTAGTTATGTTACTCAAGCTCATATGTCAGTGTCAGATACAAGTATGTGTCAAGCACAGGCATACATTCCACTTTTCAGAAGTTTTGATCATGATTTGGAGGATCCATTAAGGATCATAACCCCATACCCAGATTTAAAAATCTGTTGAACATGCCTGCTAGACACAAGTATTTCAAAAAAGTATTAAGTCGGCATCAGCACAATATAAACAAGTAGATTCAGAAACTTGCGAATGTCTGTAGATCACGAAAAATACTAAATCCATCATTCATCCAAAATTTAAGATCTTGGTGCCAAATTGATTTTATCAGGGTGTCCATGTTAACTACCTCTCTGTGATGATACCCGCAATTGATTTCTGCTCTCCAGGTTTTACAACCACCAAGGCACCGACATTGTGTTGGGTCATCTGAGAAAGATTGAGCTCAATCAGCATGCAAATCAAGTATTCTATGAAAAAAGCTGACAATCTACGAAAATCTTAAAGACACATACCGACTTCACAGCATCGTACCCAGTGTCATCTGTAGTGCACCAAAGCCAGGAGCCATCTGCACCTTTACCTTTGGCTTTCAAAACGTCAGAAATAGTCGTGCTCTCGAAGCCATGTTCTTCCATAGTAGCAGATGAAAATAATCTGGAAACCGTAACGGGTCGCATAACTGGATTGGCAACCCGAATGCGATGCAAGACCGCATTTTTCACAGTATTTCTACAAGCCGTAAAAGCTTGAAGTGCTCGTTGCATTCTACCTATTACAATTGATCAGTTAAAAATCAAGCAAAGAAATTGTTGCAGTTGCAGATGTCACATAACAATCATCATTCAAATCGTCTCACCAATGGAAACAATTCAATCGACAGCACATAACTTAATACAAGCAAAAAGAAGAGAGAGAAAAAACATCCATTCTAACAATAAGATTCCACGAATTTCAGCCCAAAGAGTTAAGGAGATTCAAGTTACTTGGATTATTCATCGAAGTTGTAATTGAAAAACAAGGATATATCTCAGCTTAAACAAAGAAGATCCACCATCGAAACAAACGGGAACAGATCTTAACAGTAAGAAAGTAAATCAAAAGGCAAAACCAACCCAATAAAGAAGTCGAAGTTTCAATATTCAAACTGCCATCAAAAGCCTAAACATAAAAAAAGAAATTATGGATTAGAAGAGAGGAGGAAAGAACGAACCTGGATTGAAGAGAAACAAAAGCAGGGTAAACCCAGAAAGTTGATAGATGGTGAACCCTAGAAAAGCGGTTTAGGAGCGTTTTAACCACCGCAATGAACAGATAAACCCAACTACGACATTCCGCAGAGCCTCGCAGCACAATGTTTACTACTCATTTTCAGACACCTAGGATTGCGCTACGGACGACAAAAGTGCCATTATAATCCATCTGAAATTTTTTTCCCCAAATAATCCACCCATCGTTTATTTCCCCAAACAGGGTGAACTCTATAGTAAACATTGAAGACGCATTGTGTTCCTACAACTTGGAAAAAACTCCAAACTTTGTATACGTCTTCAAGTCAAACTCTCCATGCTTTCTACACATATTAAATATTTGAAGACCCCAAGATTTCCATACGTCTTCAAGTGAAGATTCCAGGATTTCCTCAGGTCTTCAAAGTTTATTTCTGCCCTACTCCATGCACAAATACTACTCTTGAGCAGAGTTTCAAATCGCAGTCACGGTCGCGTTTTCGGTCTTTTCGTGTTTACCGCAATTACGACCATAACGGGCATTGCGATACTATTGGACGTGATTACGAGTGTAGCAGGTAATTCGGACGGCGATATTACGGCTATATTTCACGGGCGCTATCATATTTTCGGACCGTAGTTTGAAACCATGTCCATGAGTGAATAGTGAAACATTGTTCCCATGCAATAATTACAGACTTAACAATTTCACTTCCCAATGATCTTCGGATGTTCCCATGCCCTGCTATGCGGGTAATATCAGCTTTGCATAAAAAATATTTTTTTGTTGTATATATGTATGGGTTGGGGTGTTATTTGATTGAGGAAAAAAAATACTAAGAACGAAAGAGGAAACAAGCAGTTCGAAGAACGAGCATTCGATGGAGCATTTGAGAAAAAGTTTAACAAATTTACATGGTCATTTTCTTGAGTAAGTATTCGAATGATTTATGTAATTTTTTATATTTTATCTCGTATTATTATGTTAAATGATATTGTTGAGTTCATTTGAAGATTAAAGAGTGAGTAAAAAGTTATTTCGAGATATTTTTTGTAAATCAAGTTGGGGGAAGAAATTCTCAAGTAAGTACGAATTATCAAATAGTTAGATCATTTTACCTTATTAATTATTGAAAATAGTATTAAACAATTTAATTATTATTTAAATAATAAAAAATTAATGTTAGAATATTTTTTCTATATATATATATTTCATATGTAGAGAAAAATGAACAACAAATTCTTCATGATTATCCATTATGATGGATAGATTATAAAGAATGAGGTTGGTGTTGTTTTTCAGTCTAAAAGACCTATAAATATGATGTTTAAAAGAGATATCACATTTATAGAAATGAAGGACATGATAGAAAGAAAAATATGAGCTGCAATTGATGAGTTGAGGTACAGGTTTATGATATGTCACAATCCAGTCACTTATGTTGCAGTACAACTTGAAGAAGATAATGATATTAGAACCATGATTGAAGTGCATGACTCAACAAATATTTCAGTTATTGAGTTATTTGTTGAGGTGCATAAGATATTTGATGTTCCTGGGTCGTCAAAAAATGTGGTTGGAAATTCATCTCAAGTGACTTTCGAAAGTGAGTTTGAGGACCCGACATATAGGCCGATAAACAATTTTATGGCGATGTTGGAAAGTACAAATGAAGTTGGTGGGACATCGACAACAATAGAGTAGGGGGCAAGAAGCATACATTATCCGGAATCGACTGTTGATATTGACGCTGAAAATTATTGGGGTGAAACACATGATGATTCTAGCGAAGATGAAGAAACTGAGGAACCTGATTTGGTTAACGATGACACTATTTTCAATGGTGGCGAAGCTGATTTGGTTAATGATGAATATCCGACATCGTATCAACCTACTCCTCACATGTACGAGATAAATTATGATGTGATGAAGGCACTTGAATTCCTATAGATGCCATATTTGACTTTAGGCTACGTAACTGAATCATCCGAAAACTCCGGTGAATTATCTGTTGGGAAGTAATTTAGAGGAAAAATGAATCTACATTGGAGATTAAAGAGTATTGCATAAAAGGCCATGTAGATTACAATATTGCAGAGTCCAACCAGAAAACTCTGTATGCGAAGTGTGTTACATATGGCCCCGAGTGTAAGTAACTGATCAGAGTGTCCAAAATGTCGAGGCAAGATGCTTGGGTCATTACAAGGTACAATGATCCTTACACATGTTTACAAAACTCCATCGAACAAGACCACCGACTATCAGATTTTTATGTAATATGTCAATATGTGAAGGTGTTGGTTGAACAAAATCCAATGATCCCTTGTTCAGTGTTAGTTGCATCTATCGAGACTAATTCAGATACAATGAAAAATACAAACCAATTTGGCATGTGAAGGAGATGACAAGGAGGTTGATATATGGAGATTGGGATACATCATACAATGAGCTACCGGATTTGTTACAAGCTATGAAACGTTTCATCCCAGGAACCATAGTGAAATCTCAAACCATGCCTGCATATAACCTAGAAGGTCAACCTCTTCAAGGGAGTAGAATATTTCATAGACTCTTTTGGGCATTCAAGCCATGTATAGAAGGATTTCCATTTTACAAGCGTATGGTCCAAGTAGATAGTACGTGGTTGTACGAGCAATATAAGCATATACTATTGATAGCAGTTGCACAACATCGTTAAACAAATATATTTCCAATAACATTCGCCATTGTTAAAGGAGAGACAACAGAGGCTTGAGATTTCTTTTTGACCAATCTACATAAGTATGTTGTTCGAGAAGATGAAGTGTCCTTGATATCCGATCGAGGAACAAGCCTTTTGGCGATAATTGAATAATCAGGAAGTCGATGAACACCTCCACACACATATCATGCATATTATATTCGCGATATTGATAAGAACTGTATTGAAAAGTTGTATAACGACCACATTCGTAGCGAGATAGTCAATATGGTTAATGTAACACCCCCAACCCGGATCCGAGTCCGAGGTGTTATATTGACTTTTCAAAACTCTATTCTTTACAAATTCACTAAAAACTTAATTATCAATTGAGAAAATGAATACTTTGCAGTAATAAATACAATCAAATTATTTTACAACCAATCAGAGCATATTCAACTCAATCAATTAGTACATGCCAACTATATTAAAAAATAATCAAATACATTTAATTCATTTATTTTCTGATCTGAAACTTTGTAAGGGAGATGTTGACCTGTCTTGCTTCTCTTAGCTTCTCTTCTCGCTTCTGTAACCTACGTGTGAAACAATCACACGCTAAGTCTATGACTTAGTGATGCATTAAATTTATAAAATAACTTTAACTATTTAAACATGCATAAGCACATCATCTCATGATGTCAAACCAAAACAATATAACATTACATATAATGCAATATACACATATACATATCTCACACTATTTTCATCGCTAACCTTATTCCATTATCCATATTCTTATTATTTATGTCTTATAATCATATACTCATTTATTCATTCATTTAAATCATATATGATTCATTTAATCAAGCAATATACACATCATCTCATATATCATATAATACAATTCATATCACAAAAGCATATACTCTACATGTAAGATATATTTATTGTTCACTTTGTTAGCCCATGTACACTTTTGAGAACTATAGATATGTGAGTCTATTGAGGTTGTGCACTATGTTGTCACCACAACTCGTATAATTGTCTCGAATGACCTATCCAGAGGTTATAAAGAACCTCGACAACTGTCCATAGGTCCCGAAGAACCTAGGTAAACTATCCATATGCTCCTTAAAACATAGGTATACTGTCCATATGTCTCAAAAGACATAGGTAATTCTATCCATATGTTCCGTAGAACATAGGTAAACCCTCGACTCTTGACATGCCAACTATACCACTAGCTCTCATATTACATAACATGGGCATTATCATTTATAACATTTCACATATTCATATAAACACGTAGTTCACTGTCACATATCACGTAGCTTATGTCGCATAACTTGTATCACATATACATATTCACATATACACATAGACGCATGGTTCACTTACACTTAGAACATGTTGAGTTAATCGATTGACGGATTTGGCCAAGAGGGGGGTGAATTGGTAATTAAAAATTTGATGGAAGCTTTTGCAGAAAATTGAAAGTAATTGCACAGCGATTTAGAGTGGTTCGACTTTCTCAATCAAAGTCTACGTCCACTACCTTAGCTATCCACACTAAGGATTTTCTAACAAATTCACTAATTTGTTCTTTCTTTTGAGGCCAAAGAGATAACCTTACAACACCCTCAAGAATATACCCCAATTCTTGAGAACACTCTTTCCCAAAGAGAATATTACAAATTTGCAAACTTACAAGGAAAACCTCACAAGGTAAGATGTTTGCACAATTCTAGAACAAGAAAAGAACACTCAAAGATAATTACAAATGAACACAAATGGTGTTCTTGAAAGAAAAATGAATATTGAAAGGAAATTTTGGCTTGATTTGCACAAACTTGGTGTTT